CACCTGAAAACTACAAAATCATAAGGGAATTATTAGTGGAGAAATTTGGTCGTGTTTCCACCATAAGAAATTTACTATACAAGGAGCTTATATCTATAAAACGTAATGATCGAATTGGAAAACGACAGTCGAAGGAATGGAAAGAGTATTAAGGCAATTAGAAGCAATTGGCGGGAATGTAGAGCAACGTACTATTGAAACTATGTTGGAGTCCAAGTTACCAAGCTGGATATTGAACCAGATTTATCAACAAAAGGAAGAAAATGACCAGTGGTCTGTAGTAAAACTTCGACAGTTTCTTAGAAAAACAATCATTAGAAACGACCAAGTAATGGAATCGCAATACACGGATAGCGTAAGTCGAAAACTTTTGATTGAACGTTATCCTGATTCAATCATCCCAGTAAGCTCCGCATTGCTTGCAATGAGACAATCAAAGCAAGCAGCTTCAACCGAAAGGAATCAGCCAAATAAAGGGAGTCCAAATTGGTCGACAGATAAGAAAAAAAGACCTTGCATCTTCTGCAACAAAAATCATTGGGATAGCATTTGATATATATCCTATAGTCGAGCAACGGATCAATCGATTGAAAGAAATTAAGGTCTGCTCTAATTGTTTCAAGCTTGGACATAGTGAATTCGACTGCAAAAAAAGGATAAGTTGTTTTTATTGCAAGAAATCGCATAACAGCTCCCTTTGTACCACTAGAACTAATAAGTCTAATCAGCTCAAGGATTCGGGAATTGACAAAGAGAAGGTTGTGGTTAAAAATGCAAATATGTCTGTTAATTCAAATAAGAAAATTGAGAGGAAATGAGTATTGCTTTTGTGTAAAGAAGTTACCGTGTTTAATCCTGATAAGCCTGAACAGCAGGCAAGGGCTCTAGTACTCTTCGATGCCGGTGCTGATGCAACCTTTATTTTGCAAAAATTAGTGCATCGACTGAATTTTATAGAAACTGATGAGGAAGAATGCTCAATCTCCTCATTTAGTAATAGAAATTCCAGGATATGTTGTACAACTCAAACACAAATTGGAGTAAAAATAAAGAGCTCTAACCAAATGACTATCCAAGAAATGTTATGGACTACCTGACAAATGATCTTAAAGTAGTTGAAGTGGCAGACAAAAATCAAATTCGTAATTTCAGAAGTTACAGAAAGCAACCTGACATAATCATGGGTGCGGATTATTTTTTCGTTCTTCATTCACATGGAAAATACTCGGCAACTAGAGTCGGGATTCACGCTACTAAATACCGAAGTTGGTCCTATTATAGCGGGAAACGGTTATATTAAGGAATTAGATATTCATCACACCTTTGTAACGAAGAAATCTCAGAAACATCGTGCTCCGGATATAGATCAATTTTGAAAGTTGGATTGCATTGGTATCCAAGACCGACCCGATACA